CCTCCTTCCAAATAAGTGGTTTTTTTTAAATTGTTTTATCAAAATATGCATCATCAATTAATATATTGCAATGGACAGTAAAACCTTTTCTAGAAAGCAGCCGCTTGTCCCTGGTTCATATCACCACAGGGGCTGGACCCCCAAAGCCAGTACAAGCCCCACAACCAGCTCTACAGGTCCTCTGGGAGGAGGGGGACAGTGGGGTGGGACCCGAGCCCATTGCAAGGAAGGGGGGGGTTTGGAGGGACACATCCTTCCTTCCCCCTGCACATCCCTTTCCCAGGGCACATGTCCCCGCTGTTTTGGGCAGCAAGCCTGGCACAGTGGCCCAACACAGTAAGTCTCATCTGGCCCTCCAGTTCCCACCTTGTTCCCACTGCGATGCCCTCACTACTCTGGGGACAACCCAGTGACGTCTGCAGGGAGCTGGGTGACACCTGGGCTGGCAGACCCTTCATGGCACAAAGGCTTTCCCACAGCCCTGGGATTAAGCCCCATGGGAAGAGTGTGCAGAAGGTGCCAGGTCCCTGGCCTGGCTCCTGTGGGCGATGCTGGGTGCCTTGGGCCAGGCACAGGCACAAGGGTGCACCCCAGCCAGCAGCAGAGCCAGTGACACTCGGGGCACACAGCTGGGGCCCAGACAGGCAGGAGCAATGCAGGCAGCAGGGCTGGTCAGGCCAGACGTGTTTAGGGCAGGGAGGTGCACGGGGGCTGATGCCGGCAGCCCCCAGCTCCGCGCTCACCCAGCCGGCTCAGCCCAGCCGCGTTTGCTCCAAGGGCAGCCCCAGGGGAGCGTGGGGTGATTTTCTGGTTGGCATCTCACCTCCCCCAGCCCTCGAGTGCTGAAAGCTTCCCCATGTTGGCCACCAATTTCCCAGCGCACCGCAGGGCTCCGGAGGCCACAGGGTGCTGCAGGCAGGGCTGAGCACCATCCTCACCCCAGGTAGCTCTCCCCTACCTGAGCTGTATCAATGCTGCTGGTTTCTGTTGCCCACCACCACTCCTCAGCCCTGCTGAGCCCACTGGGAGCTGCACACAACCCGAAGGAGAAAAATGATGATTTATTGGAGTGTGTCCTGCCCCACAGACAACAAAGGCTTCTCCAGACATCCTGCCAGACCCTGCTGCAGCCAGCTCTGCCCTTCCCTGGGTGGGAAGGACTGGAGCTCTGTGCTGCTTCTTTGTCCCCAAGCTGTCCCCCAGCCACCCAGTTGAGGGGTGCAGAGGCACCGGCTGTGTGGGTGGGATGGGTCAGCGCTGAGGCCCGGGGTGCACACAGCAGACATGCGGCACAAGGTTTGTGGGTCTGCAGGGGCTCAGAATGAGCCATGACCACGGCTCAGCTCAGGAGAAAGAGGGGGATAAGGAACACCACGGGCAGCAGCACAGGAGAACTCCAGCCAGTCTCTACAAGTAGGAAAAAAGGAGAAAATAAGAGGTGATGCCATGGATCCAAAGTAGAAAGCTGATCTCTGAGAAGTCAGGCAGCACAGAAACAACAGCTCTCCAGACCACACAGTGGAGAGTAAACCAGGGCATCTCCCTTCCTTTTCCCTGGACATGACAGCACTGGAAGGTGAGCAAGAGACGGCGGCTGCACGTTGGGCACTGTCGGCACCTGCGTGGGCCCAAGATTCTGAACTTGCCTTCCTCTCCTTCCCTCCCAAAGCGATCATCGTCCCTTCCCAGCGATGAGGGATGTTCACGCAGAGCAGCACAATGCACCCAGCCCCACCGGCTCAGGAGTCCAGCTTGATGAAGACCTTGGGTCTTGAGAAAATTTTGATGGCTTCTTCTATCTGGGAGAGCTTCCTTTCCAGCTCCACCCGCCTCTTCTGCATGCTGAGGGTGTCTGCACGCACTGGCAGCAACACCAGCTCCTTTACCAGCTGCTCCTGGCCTGTAGAATTAAAGGAAAAAAAAGCTGCATAACTGGAAGAGCAAAGAAACCCATCCTTTTCCTAATGCCATGGCCTCATATTCAGTCATGAAAGCTGTGGCAGCACTGGAACAAGGACTTTGAGACAATACCTGTCCTTAGATTCACAGGTTAGCTGGATGAGGACCTGAGTGACCTGCTCCAGCTTTAACAACCAAGAGGTGGACTAGAGACCTCTAAAGGTGCCTTCCTACCAAAATCTTTCTATAATTTTAAGAGCAACAGTAACCCTAGTATCAGGTCCCCTGGGCCAAGCCTGCTTCAGAGAGCCAGTCCTGTAACCTGCAGGTCCCACCACCCCGAAGGAGAT